CATAGCTTACCTTTGTATGTAATACGTATTTAATTAAGAATTAGTTAATAGTAAAACAACAACTTTATTGAAGTATTGTATATAGCAAGTAAGTGAAAAATTGTATAAAAATGCAAAGTAAATAAACTTTGTAAGTTCATTTGACCATCCGACGCGTTGTGCTTCAATTCGGTGGCTCGAGGCGATAAGTGGCGCCCGAGTGCGGTATAGTGAATAAAAAGTGCACTGAATATTATTAGCGAAGATCCGAAGTTTATAATTATTTATCGGATCAAAAAAGTTAAAAAACCACAAGAAAGCAGCGAACATTAAAAAAAGGACGTATTCCCAAAAAAGTGCATTAAAAACACACTACCCGGTCAACAAAAAACTACCCGGTGAAAAAAGTTTTTATATACAAACATAAAACGTAATCTGCGGGTAAAACGAAAATCGTGAAAAAAACGAAAAACACAACAACGTAAATTTTAATCGCAAATTACCCGGTTAAAACCTGCGTATAAAACCAGCTTGATGGACAGCAGCCGCTGACACGACAAGCTAATAAGCATCGGCATCGATCAACGGACGTTAAGGAATAGTGACGTCACCCACCCCTGAGTAAGGACATAAAAACCCTAAAATGGAATAAGCGGACCGCCCGAAGGATTCCAAGGATGAAAGAAGTGAACTTCATGTTATCATAAGACATAGATTCTTAAGCTATTTACTCGTATCAAACAATTTTACCTATTATTCTGCTTAGCTTCATTAAAGATAACTAAAGCCTTTTAAATTAAAATTGCTGTGAAATTTCGAAATTAAGAAATAGTATATAGTTATCCTGTGTATTTCTATTAACGACAATTAAAGCACTTCTAAATTAAAGATATTGTGAAAATTCAGAGTTAGCAAATATTAAGCAGAGAGAGTTTACGTATACTGCAGAAAAGGGAAAAACCAATCAACAAGAAGGAGGACACGGACGATATCGCGGCTGCTTCCATGTTATGTTTGTAGCGAATATTTAGTTTGACGAAATTACCACAGATGGATGGTAGCAATACTTTTATGTTTTTCAATGTATTTAACGTTTCAATGTTTTTTATATGTTTTTCAATGTATTTGACGCTCTAATGTTTTTTATATGTATGTGCATTTATGTGAAACCAATTTAATCTAAGTGTACATGTAAGTCATGCGATAAAAAGCCTGCAAACCAAAGTTCCCGAAATCTTAACGAAATTTTAAAGAAACTCGGAATTCTGTAATGATTTCTTTACGAATTTTCAAAGAAAATCGTATGAAGGGTCTGACACGAACTCGTAAACAAATATCTATAGGATTTTTTAACTAAAATTCTAAAAGATTTCTTTAGGAATATTTTGTTAAATTTCTGTATGAAAACTCTAAAGGATTTCTTTAAATATATTTTGTTCAATTTCTAAAGAAAATTCTAAAAGATCTCTCTAAGAATATTTTTTCAGCATTCTGAAGAAAAGTTAGAATAGATTTCTTAAAGAATAATTTGCCAACCTTCTAAAAGAAATTAAACCTGGAATTTTTTTGGAAATTAATCGCTAAAGTTTATTAGGTTTATATACTATATGAAATGTATGAGAGCGGAATTTCATTTACTATCCGGCTGTTTGCGAGGATAGCGACCAAATAATTACAAAATGCTCGTTTGCCTATGAGGCAGCTTAATGTTAGCTACAAAAGAATTCACAATAGTTTTCAAGG